AATGCTGAAACAGTTAAAGATATTTACAGGAGATCTGGTCTGAAAACCTGGCAGAGCCCTTGAGAACAGCCCATTCCCAAAGCCAAATAAAACTCCAGTGGTGCTGCCAAGTTTCTCCTAGCTGAATACAGCCAGTCCCTCTGGGTTCATCCCCGCTGCCGCTGGCCTGTTGTAAGGCACGATTAAATATGCATTTGTTTTCCAAAGGTGCAGCCTGATTAGGACACACGGGCAAGTCTACATGACACTGGTCCTAGCGCAGATGGCTTTCTATCTTGTCACAGATAAATCTTTGGAAAGAGCGTCCAGGCCGGCAATAGAAAACAAAGATGCGGACTGAGATATAAGTACTACAGGCCAAGTACAGTCCATCTTTCATGGTCACCTTTATCTACAGGTCCTCATACAGCCAACCTCTTCCTATCTCTTCAGATTTTCCCCTGCCAATTTTTCAGATCCCTCCCCTTTCTGCTTGCAGCAGTGAAGCCAACAGACAGATCCCAGGGAGTTAAGGTGGAGCAGAGCCCACGCTCCTTGGTTGAGCCAAACCGCCGCTGCCTACAGTCGAGCAGGGCTAGACTCCTCAGCATCTCCGACTGGGTTGCCGCAGGAGGCACAAGTGTTGCTAGCATTAACGACCCTCTGAGCCATCCTCTCCTCCCCTTGCCTTGTGCTCTATACCTGCCGCTCCCCGTCATCAGGGCTGCTCTGAGCGGCTGCTGTCACAGAGTCCTCCTCCTCCACCGCCATCCCAGCTCTTATCTGGGATCCTTTCCGCTAAGTCACCAGGAGTTCAGAGAAAGCAGGCAGGGGCAGAGCAGCTGCACTCCCCTCAGGTGGGCACAAGCATCCCAGCTGCAGCAGGGCCAGTTAACCGGAGCCTCAATTCTCCCACCGGCTCGCTACAGCCTCTCCAACGCCCGCCAGCCGAGCAAACCCCTAAAGCAGCAGGAGCAGAACGAGGTGGTCGGAGAGACTGAGACGGGAGGAGACAGTCCCAAAGGCAGGGCCTCCCCAATTCTATTACGCATGCAAGCAATCAATGTTAGTACCAGTAAGTAAACCCTGAAAGACGTGATATTAACCCATTTATTTACTGACAAGCAGTTTCACGCTTGGGTTTTGGGAAGAGGAAGGGCTAGGAGTCAAACAGACCGTATCAACAGCTCCACTGCTGCAGCCACAGCAGGATTTTTCATACTGGCTGGCAGCTGGCATTGTAGCTCCCAAAAAGCAGAAAAGGTTGGTTAGTAGTGGCTATAGGCAACTGTGGGGAGAGGGAGCCGGGAAAGACAGTGCTGTAGAGACCTTCTGGGAAATCTGCTCAGTAAACAGAGCTATTTGCAGCGCCCCAAATGATCCATCAGCCAGAAAAGCCTGAGAGAGGCAAGTAAGGAGGGGAATTAGGGGGTAGAGAAGTTAGTGCCAGATTGGTGCCACCCTAGGGAGAAAAGAGCCCCCATTTCAGCAGCAAGGAACCTCCGGATTTATAAAAAACGCAATACCCAGAGAGAAAAAGACAGCCCGTGCTTCCAACTGCAAATACCACACAACTCAGTGCAGGGCTCAGGCCAGGATACCTCCACTTGTTACTTACCTGCCTGATCAACTCCTCCTCCCTCCGCAGCTTGCGAATCCGTCGCAGATGCAGTGTTCAATGCCGTCTGGACCCTGGGCTGCCGGCCCTTCATGAACAGCCAAAGGAGCGCCTGCATTTGCAACGAGGAAGAACGAGATGAATTGTGAGGAAGAGCAGATGCCCGGCCTCCGCGAGCCTGCTGCCGAACGTCCCCTCTCCGACACAGCACTTCAGCGCAGCGATTTCTACCGGCCCTCTGGTCTAGCATGGGATGGGGGGACCTGGCCAAGCAACACTCATCAACTACAGCTTTTGGGCAGAGGGCAGAGAAAGGGGAGACAGCCCGTGGATGGATATAGGGCAGTAATGGCTGCTGTCCACCACCGATGCAGTTCAACAGCCCTACCCCTTTCCAAGTCCATCAGCCTGAATGATCCGATGCCCATTTTCTCTACAGACTGATCAGGAGAGGCCAGCAGGATGCAGCGCTGGTTATAAACAAGAGGCTTTACTTGCTTGTTTGCCTTAGACACATATATATTAGCTCCCCCCGCCCCTTAACTCTCTAATTTGCAGCGCAAGGCATTAGCTTTCTGCAGCCCCTGAAAATCCCAGTCCATGGACACCCTATTTACATTTTTCCACCACTGCTGACAGACTGAAGAGGAGAGGTAATTTGCTTTCAATATGTTGCTCACACCCATGCCTGACATTTTCCATCCTATCATTACACACCCTGACAACCCTGCTTATTTAAATACTTGGTGGATCCTAAACCAATTTAAAACATCTGGGGATTTGGTAAGCATGAGAAGGACTTTAAGCGTTTGCGATGCAGGCACAATTCATATTTGGGCAGAAGGGGACCAAAGCCCATCGTGTCCGAGATGTGAAATCACAGCACTCTCCCCCAGTCTCAGGAGAGGAAGCTGCTTTTCTTTTGCAGTATTGTCCAGATGTATTTAATTCTTTACCTCCTGTGTCATTTAACAAAGCTTTTCCCTTAGGATCCCTTTTTACACAAAATGGCTGGGTATCCACCTCCATCTTTCGCACGAGGGAAACGGGAGGCTCACCGTTGCCTTGGATGAGATACTCAAAAATCCTGGAGGCTTATCTGCTAGGCGGCAGGGCTTCCATGCTACCTCTGTGGGACAGAGACACTGCCAGCTGAGGAGCGATCAGCAGCCTCAGACAGCATTCTTGCCGTGGTTAATACTTCCATCCGCTATCGGGAGCTTTTATTGCATGCAAAATTAGAATTTAAAGTGGTATGTGGAATTTCATCTACATATAACATTTGCAGACAGCTTTCATCTCTGTTTCTTGTTGAAAGGAAGTTGCTACTGGGTGCGCGTGCGATGCCACATAAATACTTCAGCGTCTTCTGCAAACATATTTATGGTTATGTTCCTCCATCTGCCACAGAAAAGTTAAGGCTACAGAAGGGTGATTTAACAAGAATGGAAAGAACATGTCTTAGTTACTTTTCTTCTAGTTTGTGCTTAAATGCGTGTATGGAGCTATCAATTATTTAAGCCCCGTATTCCAGTTCTTGCCAGTCATCTTTGCTTTGCAGCGAACAGCAATGAGACATTCATCCGGCCCCAGACAGACTGAAACAACAAGAGCCCACCGGCATTAAGACCGGGAAAACAGAAGTGACCACGAGGGATATCGGGATGCTTTCCTTTAAGGAGGACCTTAATTTACGCTGATCAGATGCAATGACATCCTTCCCTAGCTGAGCTAGTGCCTCTGGAGAATGAATACCGCACTGCCAAGGTTTATTGCAGTCTGTGTCTATCAGAGCATGAGGCTGGACAGACAATCGTCGATTATCTGTCGAAGAAACACATGGGAAGGAAACATTCCTCATTCCAGACACTTCCCAAACTTTGTATTTGGTTGGGGAAATGGTGCCTGTTGCCAATTTTAAACGTGAGCACACTGTTATGATTAAATGAGACAATTTAAAAAAAAAAAAAAAAAAAAAAAAAAAAAAAAAAGAATTCTATCTTGTCTATGCTCGCTAGCCGACTGGCTGGCAAATATCTTAAAGCATTTTATAGGTCAAGTGATATCAGATTAAAGCCAGGCCAAGTAACTGATGACAGATAATGATATACACTGGAGAAATTGAAGGGTTTTGAACGAAATCTCTGTATCCACACACTGATGCTTTGGAGACACCACTAATATAACTCATAATTTCTTCATGCTTTCAGACCACCATTCATCCCAAAATGCTACAGACAGCTGCACGCAGGGCAGCTACTGACTAAGTGCATTTTTCACTACAAAGTTCAGCTTTGGTAATCTGAAAAACCCCACAAGCAGCTCTACAAGGAAACTTTTGAACCTTCAAGCGGTGGCAATAACTCAAAAAAACCACCAGATAATCCTGCGTAAGAGAAAACCAGCGCGTGAACTACAATAGAACTTCTACAGCCAAACTAAAAATCTCTTCCCCTCCGCGCCGCTCCTGCTACTCAGTGGTGTACAGCCACTGAAGCAGCTGATCACCAACTCTCCAGGTCAACGCACAAACCCTGGGCCGTCTTCATCTCCACCCTGCTCCGATGAGGAAGATGACACTGTGCTTGCCCGATGGCTTCCTGTTGACTTTGTGTATTGGCAGGATTATTTGCAATTCTTCCCGATGTTCAACCCACTCGGCCAGCATGCCCTCTCCTAGTAATGGTTCCTCACACAGCAATCTCTGCTTTTCCGCCGGGAACATAAAAGCAGGGACTAGCACAGCAGGTAATAGGTGTTTACTCCTGGACATCCAATATTCAGACTTTTCACTTCACATCCTACGAGAGAATGAGGTGGCACCAGCCAGAACACCAACCGCACGCGCTGGGCAGCACAGATGCAGCTCAGGCTCCGAACTACGGCTGGCAGCCCTGGTCGGACCCTCGGGAGCACCGGGGGTCACGGTGCCTTCTTGCACACGCGCCGCCTGCTTGCGCAGTGTGTATCGCTCCCGCTCTGTGGCGTGGCAGATTAAATTAAACAGACAAACAAATCCCTTGGCTCTGAGATGAGTTTGGCCTTTGATTTCATATCCAGGCTGTGATGCTGACAAAGACGACAGATGGAAGCAAGAGGTAAAGTGGGGAGAGCTAAAAGACTTTGAAAAATGGGTTTGTGTGTGCCTAGGAGGCACGCCCTCCACATCAGAGGAGGAATGGCCACAGGGCACTGGCAGATAGCAGACCTGCTATCCTGCTTGCAGAGCAAACTAAACACCTTCCCAGACTGCTCCATTCACACGGCCACGCGCACCAGCGTTTCCTCCTCATTACCCTTACAGATTGTTTAACTAAAAAGCTTCAGAGCGGAAAGGCTGCTTCGTGTGAATTTGTCAGGAGGAACCAAATGATGTGCTCAATAACTGAAACAAGCCAGGAAATGAACCTCTCCCCCAACCACTCCCCCACGTCCCTTTCACACGAACAAAAACCACCAGTTGCCTCTCCAGAAGGCACCAGCTAATTAATTTCATTTCCCAGCTCTTGTTTTATCAAAACAAGTATATTTAGCCAGGGCTGCCTGAACAAAGGAGTGACAGCAGGGAAATTGCCCGTGCGGTCCTAATGCAGACGTGAATCAGCAGAAGCAGGAGACGCACGGCAATGAAAGGAGGAGGCTTTTTAATTTCTTTTTCTTTCACATATGGTTAGGTAAGACATAAAAAGTGTCTCTCCACTTATACCTACTTATCATCATAGAAACATTTTCATTTATTCCAACACACACGTGTGCGCACACACATTCCCAAATTGGAGAAGCAGCCGTGAAGGCATTTAGAAAAATCACAAAACTCCCAGCCCATCAAATGCCCGTTCCTCACTGGAATCTCAGTCACCAGAAGAAATAAATCTGTGAAATGGAATATCGCTGAGGTGATTTGTGACTCCCTTCTAAATGGCGCCTTCAAGCGGACTCCCCATCCATGTGAGAGCAGCAACAAATTTTGGCCTTGGCAGCAATTTGGCTGCTTCCAACCAAAGTAGAAAACGGGTAATGCAGACTGGGGCGGGGGGGTGGGCTTCCAGCACACCTCCAAACACACAGGACAGAGCTGCACACTGTGAAACTTCCTGCAGAAAGCCTCACGAACACGCTGCGGTGCCACGGCCAGCAGTAGAGACGGATCCTTCCTTTCTCACCCTCAGCCCTGCCGCTCCTACGTTGTCCTTCACTGCTCACTCCTCCTCCTTCCTTTCACCCCGCATTTCTAATCCTTCACCACACAGCTCCTGCTCCTGAATGAAGCCCAGAGGAACTGGAGCTGATCATCCGTTACATTTTCTTTGGAAGGAGTTTGACAGCCCAAAGGGATTCCTGACAAGCAGGATGCCACCATCATCGCCACTAATTGCATCCCCAGCCAGCTCTCCCCCGCCAGCAGACAGTCACTCCAACAGGGCCGCCACGTCTCCTGTCCCGACAGCTACCCACATTATCAATGATTGCTATAAACACTTAATGCGCGTTCCTCTGATCCCTCTGTCAGAGCCACAGCCTCTCTAGACCAGGGTAACGCACTTCAGCTTTCAAACAAAGACTTGGCAGCGGAGCGCTTGGTGGGGGGTGTTTATAGATGTTTAATGGTCTTTTTCTTACAATCAAGGTGCTACAGCACTTACGAAAGGCACCATGTTTTCGGTGGGGGGAGAAGAAGGAGAAAAATGATACGCTAAATACAAGAGGAAACACTGTAGAACTGCATGCAATTATCAAAAGACACTAAAAAAATATCAAGTTTTATTAAATACCTTTTACTATTTAAAAGTAACATTTAAATGTGCCTGTGATAGATCTGAGCTTTAGTTGCCTGTAATGACAACCGTTTTATAGCTCCAAGGAACTTATACATTACGAGATATATATTTTTATACATGTTTTTATTAACAGTCATCCAAAATCTCAGCACATCCGAAAGCTTCAGCATCATTCACAGAACTGCATAGCAAACACGTTGAGCTACGATACTATTTCTATTGTCTGATGAAAGAAGGGCTTGAATAACATTTATTTAATTGGGACGAACAGTCCTGCGGAGCCTGCAGGTAAAGGGAAAGACAGAGTTGGGTAACGCTTCAGGCCTGCAAAGCAATAGGGTCCCTTCAACCGAAGGGTTGTTGGGAAGGAACGCAGGTGAACACCAAACTGTTCTGCAGTCCCGGTTGCGCTCAGAGGGCCGCCTACGTGTGCCCAATGTACTTCACAAAGAATCATCATGCAGTGAGGGAAACAAGTCCTGAGGTTCAAGTGGGGCTTTACCAAATACCTCTTGTTGCTCAACCAACCATGAAAGAAGGCATTGATAAGGAAGGTCGGGCTCAGGCAGAGATGCTGTTCCAGCGGGCGGCTGTTAGTCGTCAAAGTCGATTCTGATGGGGCCACCTGTCAGGATGCGGTTTGCCACGTGACCAGATTCCTCCTCCTCCTCCTCCTCCGTCGCAGCCGACCTGCGCACCCGTCTCCGGCAGCCCTGGGCGCAGCGAGAGCTCTCATCCAGCGCCCCGCACACGAGGATGCGGCAATGCAAGAACACCTCCTGGGGGGTGGCGAGACAGCAGGCCAAGTCAGTGCGCACCTCTGGGAATCAGACCGGCAGCGCTGCCAGCTCTCGGTGAGCGCGAGCGACACGATTCCTACAGTACAGCCATTTCTGTCCCCGCATCAACAAGGTCCTGACCCGCCATTGCCATCCACAGCCAAATCGGCTGCTCCATCTGTTTTCTTATGTGCCCAGGAAAGGGCACGTTCTCCAGAGTGCCCGGCTGAGATCTCGGAGCATGGCATGTCTGTTAGCCAAGGGCTAGACAAGGAATATGAAGGCGTGAAATGATCCTCCAGAGGAAGGGAAGGAAATGCCAGGAATAAGCTTGGCAGAGCTCGGACGGACTGGGCAGAGCTGCATGGTAGGAAGCAGGCCAAGAACCCATGAAGCCTCACAAGGAGATGGACTGATAGAAACGTGCAAGAGAATTTGACATGAGCTGAGAAAGCATAAAGCCAGGAGACTGAGGAGCAAAGGAGGAAAACGCAGGTTGATGAGCGGCTAAGACTGGTAGTTGAGGGGAGAAGGAGAACACAAAGGGCAGGGAGACAGCTGCCTTTTCTTTCTGCACAGTAAAGGCAGACAGTGACAGGATTGCTGCTCCCTGCCCTCTAAATGACAAGGAGGGTAAGCAAGATCCCTGCAAGCAAATATTTGTGAATGTTTGGTCGACGGTGAGGTTTGAAGCAAAATCCATTGCACAGGCTAGGAGGATGCAGGTTGGAAGCAGCAGTGGCAATCAAACGGCCAAGCAAAATTTCTGAATTTTGGAAGATCTCATCCGTTTTAACGCTACCGAGGCTCTCCAGGAGCTGGAGAGGCAGCTTTACGCCTTTTGGAGCAAGCAGCATTGGCTGAGCATAACAACAGTGACCGAAAGACCTGATTTCCCCTAGCACAGAAAAGGAAAGCTATCTGCATTAGGAAAATGGCATTACCGTTCAGCCATCCTCCCACTACAAAGCTTCTGCCCAGAGTGCCACCAGCCTGGACGGCCTGATTTCGTATCGAATTAAACAGTATGGTGGCCTTGTATCTAGAAAACTGGTATCTGTACCGCCAAGAGCTAGAGAAGACATAAGGTTGAAGAGATTCAAAACTACAGACTGTCTTGCTTTAAAGATAGGACACTGCATAACGCGCCTAACTCCCTGGGTTTCTGTTTGGTGACTGGGAACACTTTTCTTGCCCAGCGTACAAGGGTCCACTACCCTGGAAGCAACAATGATTTTAACCTGCATTGATGTTCCACAACTGTCCGTCATATTTTATTTAATTTTAGTTGTTTTCATGGCTCCCTCCCCTAAAGTACCTGTGTCAGGCTCCTGAAAGACACAACTGCTGGGACAGGCACAGCAGCATCTGCCTTGGGCCAGCCATTCCTCCCCTTCGCACCGTGAATACAGCCAACTCTGTGCTGAGGCTCTTCAGTCAGATCAGGGCTGAGGCAATATCCAAGAGGTGGGTTTTGAGCTTACCTTGTTGTCTTTGCCCACAAACTTGAACACAGGAACCTGGAAATGCTTGGCGAGATGGTCCTTCGACGTGTACTGTTTCACCGAATCATCAGAAACGCAGCTGAGGAAAGCAGAGGGATAGGCTTTAATGGGTTTCCCAGAAATGGAAAAAGAAAGAGAAAAAACACCCCAGCCTATTTAACCAGAGAAAGCAAAGGAGGGCTTGGCTGTCTCAAGCTAAGCTATCGTCCATGTTACTTCCTCTTTGGCCACAGGAGGAAATTCGGGAATGATGGGGAAAAACACCAGCAGTGATAATAGCATCTCCAGACAAGGAACAGCCAGCAGCAGAGCGCTGGCAGGACGTGGTCCCGTCCCATCGGCAGAGGTACTGCCAGAGAGCTGCAGGCAAGTTTGTCCTCGCTTCACCTTCCTGTGCAACAGTCTGCAGCGATCAACTGAACTGTTATACAGTATAGAATGGATTATGTACTTTCTGTATACACATATATATGCGCATAAATCACACTTAAAATGAATAAGCTGTTACCCATGTTACTAAAATATCACAGATGATATTCTAAAAAAAAAAAAAAAAATAAAAATCAAGATCTACTTTGCTTTATATCATTTACATTTTTCTTCCTGCTGGACTTGATTGGACAGCTCAAATTCGCTACAGCTAAAATTCGTAATTTCAATTTTTCCATTACTAGCACTATATACAGTCATGCGAGAGGTCACAGAACTGCAAGAAAATAAACTACTTGTACAAAAGTTACATTTCAGGTGCAGCCTATAAACTATTACAGCCTGTTTAGAGTTTGACAGAGAAACTGCAAGAAAAAAAGTTATGGTGACTTGATATTTACTGCTGCCTATTGCAAAGCCTCAGGCATTTTGAGAAGCCCAGATGCTGCTTTTATATTGCATTGCAATGCAGCTTGTCCTTTCTAGCAAGTTAATTCCAGAAATGCAGACTTTGCAAGATATTAAAAAAAAAAAAAAAAAAAAAAAAAGGTGGTGGAAGAGACAAGAGGTAATGGTGTGACAGCTGAGAGTCCTACTCTTGCAGCAACCTTTAGCTTCCATCTTTACACCAGAAATATGTAAAGCATTGTCAGAAATGCTGACGTTTGACACGTTCAATTATCAAACAGCAGCACAACCCACATCTATGCCTAGCTCTGCTTTCACTAGAACGCATATTTGGAAACCTCTACGCTGTTCGGCTGACTCGGCTCCGTGGGCGGCAGCCTACCGCAATCCCTCCCCGAATCGCCCTTCTGCTATGTGCAGCAGAGCAGTGTATGTTCACGGGAGCACTAAGCGTTGGTCTGATCCTAGCATTATTTTCCCCATCATGTATTTCTGTAGCTTTTCTCAGCCAGTGGAGGTCACGGTCTGAAGGGATATCCCTGTCTGCAGCGCTTGTCTAGTCAACTTGCCTGGGAGGCAAAGATAAAAAGTCATCCAAAGGGAGCTAATAAATTAACGCTGTGCATCTAGAAAAATTGACATAGATTCCTCCCCCCAAGGCCAAACACTAGATGTTACTAAGTTGTTTCGGAAAAAAATGCTTTTAAAAGTAGCATTCCTGAAGGCATCTGATTGTAAAGAACGACAGTTAAAGACTTTTCATAAGTGACTGGCCAAGCTTTGGGGCCATAAAGTCAACTCGTAGGCATGTCTTCATTTGTTAGCATATAAATTGTGATGCTTCTTGGGCACTGGCTCAAACCGACTCCTAAGTCTCAGGTTCTCCAAAGGTTCACCACACTGGTGGCAAGAAACCTACTGGTTTGAGGCTAGGGAGAGGGAAAAAGGAAGAACAAGAGGGATACACGGAGCCCCTACCAGGCCCCTAAGTATGTCTTACAGAGGGTTGCAATAAATGCATCGCAGCATGACAAAAAGGAGCTCAGAAACCTCCCAAGTCACAGGGTCAAGCCCTTTTACATTGTGCATGGGGCCACACCTTGTCCCACCCGCCCTCCTAGGAAACCCCCAGACCCCGCTTCCCACCTTGGAGAGGTGAGAAGGGGCAGGGAGCACAGGTATGGAAGGAAAATGAGTGACCCTGGTCAGGATATGGGGAAAATAACCCTTTCCTGTGCATAATGTGCTGAGGTTACGAGAGCAGATGTGCCATGAGAGCTGCGCTCTGACCCTCTTATCGGGGGGTCGCAAGGTAGAAAGGAGGGCTTGGAGAATAAAATAACCACCTCGGCCTACAAACGAGGGGCGGCCGGAGGAGTAACAAGATGAGCCTTGCAACAGAACTACCTTAACCACGTCACGCTCGGATAAATGGCAGCTCCTGACCGCATCAGATGACAACGGATTGCCCTCAGTGACATGACCCAGAGAGCTGCAATGTCTATCGCTCACGCAATTGGTCAATGCCTTTGACTTATTTTTGTTCTGAGAAAGAGGAAGAACAAGATCAGGAGTGGGAGAGCTGCTTTGGGGCTCACTGGCTGGCCTAGCAGCAGAGTAGGGTATTACCGAGACTGCGGGGAGGGATCTGGAAAAATCCTGGTTTCTTTCCAGCGTGGTCACATCAGCACAGGGAGTGGGTTGAGATGTCCCACAGAAGAAGGCTCCCACCTCTTGCTAACTGGAGATGTCAGGGAATGAGCAGGAAAGAAAGCAGGAGAGGGAATTTTCCCATCCCTCAGTCTAAGGTACATCCCCTCAAATTTAAAGAGTATTTCCCTCTGGAAGCTGCAGTTAACTCCTGCAGGTCTGATCCTACATAATCAAACTGATTTAAAAATCCCATCTTTATTGTCTTGGGCTTTCAGGGCTGGGTTGATGGAAGGAAACTAGGTTATTACAGAACTGTTTGGAGCAGGGACAAATCAGCAGTGTATTCAGCCAATTTTACTTTTTAATTGCTACGAGCACACAGAGAGACAAAGAACTCCAGTTAGCTCAACAGCACATCATTAGCCTTCGGTCTAAGCAAGCGGTCCAATTTAAATACAGTGCAGCGCAGGAGGGCTGGCATGTCTGGGGACACTGGGGCCTGCAGTGACAGCTGGAGAGCGGAGCAGGTGGGATGAGGCTCCAGCCAGCCGGATCCAGCCCACTTTTCCCTTCGGTGAAGTTTGAATGCCCTCTGCAGGATAACAGTACCAAAGGGGCTGCTGGTGCCGTAAATCCTCCAACTAGTGCTGTGGTGAATTCAAGAGATGATGTTTTCTGCCTTCTCCCTTCTCTATTTGGCTCAGGTTTTGGCCACTGTTTTGAATCCCATCACTTTCCCTCATGGTGGGAAATGAATGAACGTTTGGAGCCTTGACTCTGTGAAGGGTTCACAGGAACAGCCAAGCCAGGGAGTCAATAAATCAATCCTTCCATTACAAATCTGCTTATAAACCCCAGAAATGTCAGGCACAGAAGAACTGCAGCCTAGGATGGAGGGAGAGCAAGCTAACGCTGAAACCTTTGTCAGAAGGAAATGAAAACAGTATTTTTGTGTACTGTACTCTGCAGGACCCTTTTGCTACAAGACAATCACATAGGACTTGTCATCGCCAGCTGTAACGGTGGATGCTTTAGCCTGGCAGCTGAGGAAATAATTGTTGTCCTCATTAGATGGTTTGGCAGACAGAACACAGGACTTATATGAGCACAGTGCCTTGACTGTCAGGCTATGACACTTGGATACGTCTTAGATATTACTTTGGCTGGACTTTCCTCCCTAGAGGATAGCAGACTGGTTCCCAACTGTGACATTTCCACACCGCTGTCTGGTTAAGCTGCCAGGCACTGCTGGATGCAAACACCCCACAGCAACGTTGCACCGTTAGCGCCCAAACAAGCGTCTGAAAACAGGGGTCACCTTAGGAGCCACAGCAGAGCCCACAGCAACGCGCCCCAAACCTCTGACACAAAACCTGTCACGGTGAACCCACAGATCCACCCTGAGTTTTTTTTACTAGCATAGCCTGGAAAGAGCACTGAACCCAAACGCCTCAGAAAATTACAGCCAAACCCAGGGACCCTAGTCTTACTGCACGGACAGGCATCAGAGAGAGAGCAAAGCAAGGGGAGTTCCTGGAGCTCCAACCCGGACCAGCCCTGGAGTCTTCGGGCCCCGCTATAACATAAGGCCATTATGGGAAAATTCAGAAACTTGCTCCAGTTGCTGTGGCGGCTGCATGGCAGTGGCACACAGCCATCGGGGGGTTGTGCCGATTGGTTTGGCACTCCGCAGGCTGGCAGAGAGAGGGTATCGGGAAGGATATCTTTTCTGCTGGAGCCAACTCAATTATCCACAAAGCTAGTTACAGGGAAATATGTCCTGTAAAGGCTGCGCTTGGAGTAACTTCTTTCACTGCCTCCCAATCACTTTTGATGGGACATGTGGTTTCAGCTTGATGGCCTGGCTGCTGCTGATTGCTAGGAACACAGCAGATTGGCTGCTGTGGAGAAGTGATAGTATTTCCTGCGTCACGCAGGCAATGCAACTTAGCCTCACCGCCAATTCCCATCTAATAGCCAGCAACGGAAGGAACACTGAACTCACCCATCTTGAATCAGGTAGTACTTCAGGATCTCATCAATTTTTGAGGTGGGAGTGGCAAAGCAGCTCTCTACCAGTGTCTCTAGTCCACTGACGTGTACCAAGGGTTCGATCCCAAAGTACAGAGAGTCCCGAAGCTTGAGGGTGGGAAGAGCACCCCTGTAGGGTTCATCAAAGTCTTTGTCTTTGAAGATCTCAAGAGTGAAGGGGAAGATGCCCTGGTTGCGGCTCATGATTTCCAAGGGTGAGTTCTTGAGGTTGGGCACGTAACCTTCGGAGATGGTGTACCGGCGCGGGAACTCACAGGTCACTGGGATCAGCAGCTTGCTGGTGCGGACAATGATGTCCCCGTTGCTTCCTGGAGTCTGCTTTGGCAAGCCAGTCACCAAATTGGTGGCAATGATTTTATCATTTATTACCTGCAGCAAAGAAAGCAGTTTAAGGGAAAGATGAGATCATTGAGAAAGACCTCTCTTGAGTTCAGACTCGCAGCTGAGTTTACCTTGTTCAGGAAACTCAGACATAAACTAGCCACTGAAGGTACAGCTTGTGAATTTATATGCTGCAACCAGAATGATGTTCATCCTTACCTATGACCTAAGGGCCTCTATCAGTTTGCTGTCAACTTCGATGCACTGTATTCCTGCATGAAGCAGAGGAATTTGCTTTCAATTGCTACCCATCTGCTAAGATGAGCTCTCTGGTCCCTGACCAGTTGCCAGTATAACCTTTGAAACATTATTGGGGGACCAGATCCTGTCTCGACAGGAGGGTGAAGAGTGACACCACTTGGCACTTTCTGCACTGGAATGATGGCGAAGCTGCCTCTGCGAAGCACTGGGTGAGCAGAAAGCAGTACGCATGCTGACAGACGCATACCGCTGGAGAGGAGATGGAACAAGCCCTCCTAACTTTGGGATGCCACCCCAGGTCTAGCCTGAGGCCAGCTGCATGGCAACACAGGAAACTGCTCTCATGGTACAGCTAAATCAACTTTATTCCCCAAGTAAGCCATAACCAAGTTCCCAAATCTGAGAGACCCCAAGAGATGGGACAGCAATGGGTATACGTACATCTACCACAGTGCCGCAGGACTTCAGGGAGAAATGGATGTTGACGTGAGTGCCGTTGGATACTCCTTTGCAGGAAGTGTTGATGAGGGAAAGGTCCAGGCCTCCAACCAGGTCCTTTGGGATGTTCACCTCAATAGAGCTGGACTTGCACAGCACTGGAACTACAAGAAAGATCCGCAGAATAACAGTCTGCCCTACCAAACTGTCAGGGAGAATCAGTATCAGGGAGGTCAGGAATGGCTCTACCAGTTACTACTGGGGGAAAGAAAGGGCAATCATATGCTACCTTTATGATACTATCTAACCATAGTAATCTAACCACCTATCTTACATTCCCATCTACACAACACAAACCTCCTGAGCTATCGCTGCCCCAAATTGTCCTGGCACAGCGACACCACAAAAGATGATGAAGATGACTGCTATACTTTCGGCAGAAACTTCGCTATGCAGTATTTCCAGCTATACTTAATACTCAGCACAAGTTTGATAGATATCTCTTGCACTGGTATGTCACGGGAAGAGCCTTTCCCAGATATGGATATCAAATTCACAACACCCCGGGCAAAGCCATTTTTAAGACCCTTTATCGGGTTTTACATCAAACTCAGAACATGTCAAAACAAGGCAGAGTAATTCCATATAGATGGCCAGCTAAAACAGAAGCACCTCAAAATGCCATAATAGTATTTTTATAAGCAATAAACCCAGCACTAACAAACAAACCCAATTAGCTCACTCATTCTACCTCCTTCCAACCTTTGAATTTTAATACAGATCTCCATGTGAACTTTTTTTAATTGAAATTCCATTACATAAGCAGAGAAACCAGAGATTAGACAAAATGAAAAAGGAAAGAAGAGGGAATAATCTTTAATAAAAAAAAGTAATTGCTATATATATTCCTTGGGTGTATACATATCTATTCAGTTAGATACAGGCCAAGTGTACTGGTGCATGTATTTTGGTCTCTTCCCAAGCAGAAAAACAAACCCCCTCCAGAATTTCCATTTATCATATTTTAAAATCACATGACAACCTTTTTGCAAATATACTCGTTCCCCAAGCTTTTTCCTAAAATTAAGTACACAGTCCCAATCCTCGACGTTCATATGATCTGCCTTCCCTCAGTTTTGATCAAGTTAATTATATAATCCAGGATTCTGGATCTTGGATACAAGGCACACTGCTAAAATATGTCTTTTACTCCCCTTAAAAAAATTCTCATGTCCCAGCTAAGGTATTTGTAACAGCTACTGTGTACCTGCAGGCAGTATTTTTTATTAAAAGTTTCTTTCCAAGGTGATATGCTAAAATGTATGCAGCGTGCCCAAAGCAATGTGCCTTCATAATGACATTGCTGGGTTAGAACAGAAAATTGAAGAACTAAGAATTACCTTAACTTTTCCTCCATCCGCAGTAGAAGGCAAGCGGGAATAACCGAGCATGTCAAATGGCAAAGCTCACAAGGAGACAAAGGGACTTTGAGAACACAGCGCAATGCAGAGATGAATATCCTTTGGGGAACGGATTGGCTCAATTTGGATTTAAAGCTTCACTGTTCTAGTGACTCCTTGATGAATACGAAAATGTAATGCTTTTATAAAGGTGTAATTCAGGGCAAGAGAGTTTGGATCCCAACTGCAATTCCCCAAAGTTCAGGGCCAATTTGGTTCAGGCTATCTCTGCTTCTAAATGTCTTTGGTTGGTGCAAAGGGGAAGAAAGAGGAGGCACCTAGTTAACCTCTGCGCTGGCATCGCAGGAGTTGCCTCTGTGCACCCCACCACCCGGGCACAGAAACAAGTGAACGAAACCTGTGAGCAGATCCACTTTTGATTCAAGCCAACTCATCACTATTTGGGAAAACACTCTGGGAAACTCCTTATACTAACCATCCCAGAGTAACCGGTAACGTAATTCAACCCACCTTAGACATTGGTACACAGAAGAGTAATCAATACTGAGAACAGCGTTTCGGTTCTACCAATTTAACAGAGGTGCTGCAAGCAGAGAGACTGCACGCATCAGCGTGATTCAGCTCTGAGCAGGCCCGATTCCCCGAAGACAGGCTGCCGGCAACAGCACTGTCGGGGGAGCCGGAAAGGACCTGGCAAGGTAGCCGTGACGATACGCAGACGTGTTATTCCAGGGCAAGTGATGAGGTCCCGACTGCCAGGACTGAGATGTCCAGCAGAAATGAGTTATCCTGGGTGCCAAGGAATCCTCTTTTATTCACAACTTCCTGCCTCCGTTCAGAGAGCTGCACTCTCCCGACTTGCTGGCAGCATCCGTCTCTTGCATCCCTGCCCTGGGCTCACCCCAGCCTGCGAGGCTCCCGAGAGCCTCACCCAGCCTTTGCCAGTCAAACACTTCGGTTCTTCACCCTCGTACACCACAGAGCACCTGTAAGCACTGGGAAAGCCTCCTCATTACCACTTTAAACTCTACTTTGCACCAATGCCTGCAAGTACCCTGATCCTGGTAGGAAGCTTCTGTGGCAAGTCATATATTATATGTTATCATATATAGTCATGTATCATATATTATTTGGCAAGCAAATAATCCAGCCACCAAGCCACGAAACATGAAATTGCTACTCTCCCCTTAATTGGTTTAGTGGTGGACTTGGTAGTGTTAGGTTAATGGTTGGACTGGATGACCTGAAAGGTCTTTTCCAACCTAAACGATTCTGTGATTCCAAGTCCAACGCTCATCTTGCTGTCTGCTATTGTTGGCACCACGTTCCCCGTCCAGCCTGTGGCTCCTTCCCTGACCTTTCAAAGCTTGGAGCAGGGGTTATCTTTTTGCACAGACTGCTCAGCAGAACAGGCTCTCTGGTGCTGGGGAGCCCTGAACCACTGCTACAAACACAAATAAAACTACAGCATTGCACCCTGCTTAGCTGCACACAAGGCTTGAGCGTGGGAGAGGGGAGAAAAGCATTTCGCCATCACGCTTCAGAAAGAGGTGGGGTACTCGTTTGGTCTGCAAAATTCCAAGCATTTCGCTGGCTGGTATCTTTGTGGGAAAATTGTAGCCAAGGCTGTGTCTTCTGTGGAAGATTATTAATGTTTGTTCTGAAGGTAGAGACAGTGGAGGGGATGGCTGATAGGCTGCAGATCCAATTGCTTCAGGCAACTGTGCCTGCCCTGCACTGTTAATTGTACCACTATAAACCTGATTAGATGCCATAAAAAAATTGCGTGGTACAGTTCCAGATATATCCTGTCATATTTGCTCAAAATTGCAGACCACCGTGTGGGGACATAAATTCATGAAATGCAAAAGAACAAGCAATCTCACTTTATGAGATGCCGTATCCCGAGCCCCAGCTTGGCACCCGGCAGTGCTGCTGCTCTCATTAGCAGCAGCAGAAGGAGAAACACTGGCTGGGAAATGCACGGCCTTCTAACCCTGCTGGGGTTGCCTCAGGGAGCCAGGATTGAAGAACATTGCTCTTTTCTGGCCTGTATCCATCAATCAGACCTTCAATCAGTAAGTATAATCACAGCTCTCAGAAATCCCCATCTTCTCCTGCCCACGTGGCTCTGCTGGAGCAGTAAGCACTACTGAACCCCAAGTGTGCAGTGCTCACCCCTGAAAACAGTGCCCTGCATTTCTAAAAAGCTTAAAAAGCAGAAATTTCATCAAGTAGAACCATTCCAACTTCCTCTCTGAGGCATATCTGCCCCGTCGGCCACGGTGAAGTCCGGATCTGTTCCTCTAACTGATATCTGGGCACTTTGAAACACATCAGGCTACAGGAGAGTCTAAGCACACCAGGTAACACCAGCTCATTGGTATTATCTAAAGCCCAGGTGAATTTGCCCATGACAGACTCCCTTTTACTGCATTTTAGATACTGCCCTGGCTATGGCCCAAGTCTAGCCCATTAGCACGGAAATGCCTGAAAGCAACCACGCAGGTTCTTCGTGGGCCCACCAAGGCAGAACACAAGCAGATTGCCGTGAGGTCTGTCTCTACCAGGGCAGTACAATGCCTTCTCCAGCTTTGTGCTGAGCCTGACAGGTCTGAGAAGTGGCCAGGCCTGTCAGACGAGGCCCACCAGAAAGCATCGCCTCTGCTTTTCACATACCTACACAGCTCTCCTCAACATGCAGTTCTGACTGAACGTCCCTTCAGCAGCGGACCGTAGTAGACATCATCTCTGTAAGACACAGGCTGCATGCTGCTTTCAGCACCTCAGGGGCTCAGCTAGCTGTGGGATTATAAGACCCAGAAGAATCTTGGGTGCAAGACCTGGATTGTAAGAAGTCATTGCATGAGGAGCTACAGACCCTCTGCTTAACTCTCAGTGCCCTCAGGAACCGCTCCCTGCGCTCACTGCTACAGAGCTAAACGGACCCCCAGGGAGCCCGGATGTATTTGCAAAGGAAATCTCGCTCGGCTCTTGCAACCCAAAGGAGGGAACGTGTTTATTCCATGTGCATGCTCTAGGCGCAAGTGAGTCAGCAAGAAGGACTCCCCGCATACAGGAATGGAGTAACGTTCAGATGGCGTTGCCCTTGCCTCTATGCAGCAGAAGCAACAGTCAATTTTCAGATGCTGTCTTGGGCACCGTTCCAAAGGACAGCAGAAACACCTAGTATCAGAACTAGCGCCCTGCTTCAAGACATCGGAATGCTTACTGGAATGGCTACCAAGATACTTAGGCAAAAAAAGGCCTTTTTAACCCCATTCTTGGAAGGGACTGAACCACTTTAGCCAGAATTTTAAAAGCCCAGTTTGAAGCTGGAAAATTTCAGTTCTAATAGCATAAACTTGTCAAAGGCATACACAGCTGAAGCAGAGCAATATAATGGGAGATGTTAAGCAATCTTAATTGTAAGTGAACACTGCCAAAACCGCCTGCGATGCAAGATGCACCCAGCTGGGTCCTGCGTCTCTGTTCTCCTGCCCGGTAAAAAAGAGCAATGTCTCCAGGCTCTCAGTTTTGGATGATGTCGCACTAATGACAAAGCTCCATTAACCAAACTGGAAAGGACAGATTGAGGGAACACAACAAAAAACAAGAAGAAAAGTCCCTTCAGACATACTTTTGAATTCCAGGGGACAGAGGCTGTCAGGGAGATTTTGTTGACATACCTTGGCAAGTGTGGTTGTCTTCTGACAGAACAAGTCCTCTCGGACATTCACATTGGTATGTGTCTTCCACTTCAATACAGGTGTGGCTGCAGCCTCCGTTGTTATTGTGACAGCCTTCAATTTCTGCAAAGGAAAGGGAAATCAGCACCCGCTGCTCCTCAGGCAGCTGTACAGCAGCTACACAGGCCCCAGCGTATGCTCCTGGCAGACCGACAAACAGCATGACCAACACAGAGCTCGAAGGCAACCTCACAGCGAGAGCTTGCTTCCAAGAAAATGCAGTGGAAACCTATTTTTAATTGTACAATTTCCTGTATTTGTCATTTCACCATGAAGTTAACAAGGAATTCTGTGAAAAAGCTTACCAAATTAAATCACATGCTATAACTGGCATACATAAGAAGGCTCAATAGGCAGTCTTCAGCTTGGCCCTTTCTAACTTCTGAGACATCCTCTTGCAACTAAATTTTTATGTTGTTTCTTGCTTCAAAAAGGGGGAAGGAAAATCCTCTTGAAACTTCTACCATGTGGAACCATACTCATTCCCTTAGTCATCACCAGAATTAAAGCCCTGAGATTTGCAGGGGAGGACAGACTCACAGGTAGCCAGCTCCTATTCCCATCAGGGAACATCAGAGAGAAGATGATGCGCTCTTTGCCTGTGGCTTTCCCAGCTGTGGTGGAGGTGGGCGTACTGGATTCCTGCATCCCCTTTGTAAGCTGAGGATGAGACTCTGCTCGCAGGAGTTTGTTTAGCAAGAATTTTGTTAGTTTGTGAGTTCTAGGCTTGGAGGTTGACTACCCTGAGATGCATTATCACAGACACAGAACGACACAAGTTCACAGTGTAAGGTCAATTCCTCTCCTAATTTTCCCCCGTTCTGAAGTGCAGAGGAGAGAGGGCAGCACAGCTAATTCAGGGATTTGTCATGTCTTTTCTTACATCTTTTCTGTTCAGGTGAGGCAATTCTCTGAGGATCTGAGTTTTTATGTAAAACATATTCCTAGGCACTACAACTGCAGAAAATAGCCTCAAAGGTCACCCAAATACATTCTGAAGATTTGAAAACCTAAGGCAAGTAAGGCCATTTCCAGTTGTTGTTGGCTTTCTATTATAAAGAAAATAAGAGTATCATGATTTAATAAAAAAAAGAAAACAACCCAAAACAAAACCCTTCACTGCTTAATTTTTTCAACCCTTTGGGATGAATACTGCTAGGTGGTCTCAGTAAAACAATAGTACGTAAAATATAAACAAATCATAAATACAAATACTTCTCCCTAACCCAGACATCAGAAATGACTGTGTCTTTTTCACTGAAATGTAAAGAAAAGAACAGAAATCCCATACTCAACCCTACACGTTGCATGCAAAACAACAGCCTGAACACTCCACATGAGTCAAAGTAACAGGTAAAGCGTTATAAGGGAATTTTTGAGATACTCTTAACCCTACTCAGCCTCACCAGCTCATGTAATCAAGCTAAATCTCTCACATTTGTTCTTTTTAGCAACAGCTGTGAGGTGGCTCACAAGTAAATCACATACTCTAATGGCTCACAAAGCTGAGGGCACATCTTCAGAAATAAAACCTACTAACAAGCTTGTAAAATCCCCAGCAACAGTGTTAAACTCACAAAAAGCACCATCCTTCTTACAGAAGGGGAAATTAATTGATATATCAAAGGCCCTAAAATCCAACTCTGGGAACAGCAGAAACAAATGCGTTTCCAAGCACAGACTATTCCAGCCCTGTCAGAAGAGTGCAGTGCTCAGGAATAAAAACTGCCCTGCAGCCCAGCTGGTTTACGTGACAACCCACCAGCTCAGTGCTGGATGTGGAAGGGACAAAGCCTACAGATCACTTCTGGCCCCGCACAACTTAACAAGTACTTAAGGAGCACTCCGCACAGCAGCTTTCCCCAGGGAAGTGCCATTGCCTGGATGAGTGATGGTTTATTAACGGAGCTCAGACAGGAGGTTTTCACAGAAGTGAGATGAATCATAGAATCGTTTAGGTCGGAAAAGCCCTTTCAGATCATCCAGTCCAACCATTAACCTA